CCTTGTAGGGAGGCAACTCACGTTGGAGAACAAACCGGTGATTAGGGATAGATAATTAAGTGCAGTGAAACGATGGGGCCTCCAAATTTGCGGGCGGAAACAGCGAAACTTCTTCACGTGAATAAGCTGTTAGGCCATCAGTTGACAGTGAGCAAGATTTATCGGAACTGAGCTACCCATCCGTATAATAAGAGTACGCGGTGTTTTTTTTCCGTCTAAACTGCGCTTATTTCTCGTCACGTGACTCGTTAACAACTACCGAATTTCGTTCCTGATAGGTCACGTGCGAGTAATAAAAGCTTACAACTGTCGAAATTTCTTCTGGCACCTATTGCTGAGGTCACCTGATCGTAAATGACTTCATATCCGGGCCGTAAAAGTGCTTACCTAACTGGTATAGTGTTTTTAATTGTTTTTTTTTTTTTAGACGGTAGCGTGCAGTGCCAAATATTTACAATTAAGCAATTCGTAGGGGAGGGTCTGAATTAAAACTTTCAAACTTAAATTCACCCCTGTACTAGCGTGGGTGTGGCCAATATTGCTGCGGATGGAGAGTATACTCTTATGGCTCCCTCGCTTATGGTATGCCTTAGCACAAGTGCTCCAAGAGATCATAATTTCGTGTATGCAAGTGAAATATGTACAGAAGTAATATCAGGTGTTATGTGTGTAAGAAAAGTATCAGAGTATAATTGCATAATTGTATTCTATAGCGCAATGGGGTGTCATTCTGTAGGCAAACAGGGCGCCCACCGACAGGATTGAATTAGAGGGCCCACCGACAGGCCCTCTAATTCAAATTCTCCTGGTCCCCATGAAGCTATAACCCAGTGGATTATATCCAGCAACTCTCAAATCCAAAAGATCATCGTCATCATTAAAAGTCGATTAACAATGCCCTTGTAAGCATATAATATAAAATTATATTACATTTAAAAAGTCACGTGTTATATTCACAGATAAGGTCTAAATTGATAATTACACACCAAGAAAAATGTACACAGCACCATTTTTTTTTCTCTTAATTTCCTCGTAGCAGCCATCACCGTGTATATGCAAACACACAACTGGACTTGTGTATTCAAATTTGTAAATTATCCTTAATTATTGGCGGATAATCGTCTAACGGTCGGAGNCTTTAACAGAATCTGGAAACATCTTAGTTTTAATAAGAAGGCTTTAACAGAATCTGGAAACATCCTAGTTATAATAAGAAGGCTTTAACAGAATATGGAGGTATCTTAGTTTTAATAAGAATCCGGACAGAAACTTGAACCTTTTTAGTTTCGATATACCCTTGCACGTCTTACTGGTATCCTATTACTTGAACTATATAAGATGCTCACTCAATATGAAGGTCCTTATAATTAGTACCATAACAATCATTAAAAAAGAAGAACAGCACAAATTAATTTTTAAAAAGTTTCATTGTAATGAAAGCCTATGTAATTTCTACCAATTTTCCGATAGATTTTCAACCTCTTAATGGCCTTTGAACATGCAAGTGCTTTGATTGACAATTTAAACACGCATCAAATGGCATTAATTCCCATAAGTGCTACTCGATTCCAAGTTGTCATGTAAAGCAAACGAAATCACTACGAGTATATCGTCTTACCTGCGTCCTTGCCCAATTAAAAATTTGAAAGAAAACTAAAACAAATAATAAATTACCCATTTTACACGTGCTCACACTTGCCTTTATGCCCGCCTTCATTAAATGTTGATCTTTAATGGTTTCACTAACACAATCGTCCGGAATTTCTAGTGTCCGAACAGAATGCAAGAACGGTTATTTATAGGTATTGTTAATGAAATCGCGTAGGGTCATCTAAAGGTCATTTTACATATTGGATGATTGGTATGTCGCGTTAAATCGATCTCATGGAATTTATTGATGTTTTTTATTGTTTTTCGAATTGTTTTGCTAAAATGAATAGAGTGGGTGGTGCAGGGAGGCTTTCTCTCCTCCCTTTTTTTTCAAGATGGCTCTTGCAATCAATAGTTTTCTGTTAAAACCACTGAGTAACTGTATATCCCTTCAACGCGTTAAGTTACCAATATCCCCCTCCACCGATGTTTTACACTATTAATCATTTAAGCATAAAATTAAAATGTATCTTGGATAAATTTCTTCCATGTAGCGTTATGTTTAAGCGAAGTTAATACATAAGGAATAATAAATGAGCGTAAATTTTAAAATGTTTTAAATATTTTTAAAATTTCTATAGATAATATGATGAAAGGCATTGTTTACCTAAGGTTTTCTTAGAATTGTTAAGATATTTTTATTTTTAATTAAACAACGAACAAATACACTTTTTATGTAAAGGCGCAATGAACAATTTAAAATCGGGGACAGTAGAGTAACCAGTGAGGCCTGGGCCCCTTTATATAAACACGTATATTTAGTATATAAGGGTTTATTCTTCATCCACAATGGTATAGGGGTAATGTAGGTTGCACGTTCTTAAATTTCGGTTCTAGTTACGCAACTGATCAGGAAGTCTTAATGTATACATTTCAAAGGAAATTATGAATGGAAACATTGTAATCAGTCCATTAGAAAGTATTGAAAAATCAGTTATAAGAGAATTTCTATAATAATCTTCCTCACGTTTTCATCTCACGTGCAACGTTTCATTAATAGCATCTCTAGAAAATTAATTTTCACACGTTTACTTCAGGTAATCAAGATTTTCTCACCTATTGTTAAATTCAATAATAAAATATATTTTATTAGAAGACGTAAGAAAATGAACACACCTGAAAATGATGGAGCAGAAATTTCCCTATTTCATTTCTCTTTATTATTCTGCATCCTTGCTTAATTACTACTATATTTTTGATATTTAATATTGTCTGTACACTATAATTATAACAAGTCAACTCTCGGGTGTCGTAAATTTTCTGTATTTACATAGATAAATAATGGCATGTTCATGCTTTACATGAATGACAAGGTTAAAATAAACAAAATGCTGTATAATCTGAGAAAATAATAGTAATTTTTAAATGTTTTATTCGTACCTTTACTTTCTTTCATATTTATACTTAATCACTGCTTCTTCTATATTCAAGAATTATTTAGGAATAATTCATAACTTGAATTTACATGTAATTCATAACGTAGATCATGATATAATTCTTAAAATGAATCCAGAAGTAATTCATAAATTGGATCCAGAAGCAATTTATAACTTGCATCCAAAAGCAATCCATAAATTGGATCAAGAAGCAATTCATAATTCATAACTAAAGTAATTGCATCCTAAAGTAATCCATAAATTGGATCAAGAAGCAATTCATAACTTGCATCCTAAAGTAATCCATAAATTGGATCCAGAAGCAAGTTAATTCATAACTTGCATCCTAAAGTAATATATAAATTGGATCCAGAAGCAATTTATAACTTGCATCCTAAAGTAATATATAAATTGTATCCAGAAGCAATTCATAACTTGCATCCTAAAGTAATCCATAAATTTGATCCATAAGCAATTCATAACTTGCATCCTAAAGTAATCCATAAATTTGATCCATAAGCAATTCATAACTTGCATCCTAAAGTAATTTATAAATTGGATCCAGAAGCAAGTTATAACTTGCATCCTAAAGTAATCCATAAATTGGATCCAAAAGCAATTCATAACTTGCATCCTAAACCAATTCATAACTTGCATTCAGAAGCAATTCATAAATTGCATCCAGAAATAATCCAAAATTTGGATGCAGGAATAACCCAAAACTTAGTTTCAAGAGTAATTCGGATTCAAGAACAACTTGAAAGTTACAATTAAGAATTATTCAATTTTTTTCAAAAATTTCCCTTTCATTATAATATAAAATATTTTAAAAAATAATGTAATTCCTTAATTAATAACTTTAGTTATTTTGAAAAATTATTTGCAAAACCGAAAATTGCAATACTGTACTTATTATTAAATTGCTGATACTATCAAAATACAGAAAAACATAACAATTAAAGTACTTACAAAAATATTTACGTCAGATAATTATTTTTCATAAATTAAAATAATGCAAATATCATGTGTATATATTTATTTATTATAATATTCTATACATGCATGCATGTAATTAGAATTACATCAATCTAAATGATTAATAATTCCATAAGCATAAAATAAATTCCATGAAATATATCCTGTAGGAAATTTTTGTACTCAATTTAAATTTAAAATAAAAATCCTTCGAATGCAAATCACACAATTAATTTGACAATTCCGCAATAATACTCTATTATTATGTAAACGGATGCCAACAGATGGCGGGAGTTATGTTTTTTACATTTTAAAGTGTTAAGAGCGTTACTTGGCATTATTATGTGAATTTCTGTTTAGTTATTAAGAAATAATTCGTTATATGTACTTACCTTTTTATATTTTAATAAATTTTTGGTAATTTTCCTGAAAATTTTGTATTATTCTAAGTTAAGTTTTTAAACACCTTAAACAGTATTTACAATCTAATTATCTATATATATATACGCGTTGTGTAATGTTCGAAGTGTGTAAATGTCCAGCAGATGGTAGTAGTGTATTGTTTATGCTTGTCTTCTGCGAACACTACACACAGAAGACAAGTGTATAGTTGTGCTGTGTATACTGTACGTTAGAACTCGCAGATTTCGCCATACAAAGTGGGTGTTGTTGTAAAAAAATAAGATACTGAACCTTTCTGTATATGGTTCTGTACTTTAACAAAGTTGAAAGAAGCCCAAAAGGTGTGAATTATTAAGCCCCAATCCATTCGTTGCTGTGTGTCACCTAACAGCGTAAACCGCCAAACAACTCATTACCACACTACAAGCAAACAAAGCCTGTAAAAGTGACACAACAGTGATAAAAATTTCACTGTTTACAACTCGACAAACCGATAAGGTAGTAGCGAGGCGGTGCAGAGGCGTTACTTCCTGCTGCCAATCACGTGATCTGGGGAGTGGCCAAGATATCGCGACAGATACAGTAGCCAGCAATGGATAAGCGGCACGCATGTTAACAAGTCGTCAAGTGCAGCATCACATCTCTGGACATTACTCTTAGCATGGGATATAAATCGCCGTAAAAGGGGAATAAATGCGACTCCGATAATAGTTGAAAGTGCCGAGTTTACCCACTTTTTTTTAAAACTATCTGCCCAATAGTATGAAAAAAGCAAAGTGTTCGATGGTGTGTTTGCTTGGTGGTGCCCCTCCAGCGTGGGCTTCGTAGCATGTCCTACCCCCAGTTTGGCTATACTTATCCCCCTTCTTCTCAGGTAAGTTTAGTTATATATAACTGCAGAATATTTTTATCACTGCACCTCAAATTGTTTAGTGTTTAGTATTGTTTACCTCACTCCTCTTTTTTTTTCATTCCTAAGTGCAAGAATATAAATTGGTTTTTTTTTCTCGAATAACGTACATGATTATGGGGTAAGCGTATTATTGAATTACTTTGTATAAAGCGCATTGTATATTATTAAAATTTGGAATTGTTAACAATAAATTTAGGATTATTTCGCCTATAATACTGAAGTTAATAAATTGATCTGACTATTTTTCGCTCGTAAAACTTTTAAGGTATGGGGACTTTATTGCACGGAGCAATGTCTATTGCAAAATGATTCCAATTTTAGACAAATTTCTTCTAATTTTGCGCCCTTTTTACAGCAGAAAAACTAGTTTGAAAGAAATCTCAGCATATTTTATCGAGTAGTCTTTTTATAAAGAAGAATTTAAATGGCAAGTGTCGTTCTTCGCCTTTTGGGGTTTTTAAATATGGTTAAGAAGGTTAAAAGTAATGGTTTTTGAGAATATAAATTACATTCAACACTTGTAGAATTAGAAAAAACAATCAGAGTCTAGAGATAACCTAAAACAATTTTGTAGTATAAAAATGTAAACAAGATCGTTGACATATTCTTTCTCTCAGATTGTTATCTATCGAAGCGATATGCCCTTTGCTTAATTCATAAAATTCATTTTATAAATTATACAAAATGTTAAAGTATGGCATGAGCCTTGGGATATAAGCACCATTAATCATTTTTGAGTAAATAAGTCTTATCATTGAAATCAGCTATCACTCTGTAGGGATATCTTTCGTTACTTTTTTTAATCAGGAAACATGAATTAGCTTGTTGTAAGGCCCGAGATACTAAGGCCTAAAAGGGTTTACGCACTGCATCGAAGTGTGTGTGTGTGTTTTTTTTAAGTAGCTCTCATTCCTCGAGGGCATTCCTCGTGATTTTTCCTCAAATGTAACAAGGAAGTTATCAATTTTTATGCAGATTCATTCGATAGAAGTGTTCCAACGAAACTTACCTGCAGTAGCTAGTGGGGGTTTGCCAGTGAAAGTTAAAGCGGGTCCACTTGAGAGATCGTCTTATGTTTTACAGTTGCTGATGACGGGACAACATCCGGCCAATTCCTGCTACCAACCAGGAGAAACTCAGCCCAATCCAGCCGTTTGCACCCTGTCCGGTGCGTATGACAGTCGTCTGTTGTCTCCCTTCCCTCGTCTGCCGTCGGGCCTCGCAGTTTACAGTCCTTCCTATCCTGAACATGTCACCGCATTCGGCACCAATCCACCAACTTTCTACTCTTCTTTGGTAAGTAATTACCTTTTGTAACATTATAAAACACGTAAAATGTAAGGGGAATTCAATATAGAACATTCTGTTGGCTTACGATTTCTGCAACTTGCCCATTCCATCAAACACATCATAAAGCTTATTTTAGGGAGGATTTTAAATGTTTCATTACGTGTAACCTCACTAAGAGCCTTGCAATATGTTTAAACCTTGTGAAACTGTTATAAAAGTCTGTTAAAACTCTGCTTCGTGCATCAAACAAGTTTGCTGCGCGTTGGCTACATTGATAATGGCTAGTGTATGTATGAATATCAGGCCTGACTGTTACACATCAGCATAAATTTTTTCACGTATAGTACAATATATTGAGAGTTTTAAATTGTAGACTTTCAGGCTTGAAATATGAGTAGCCTACCTGAAAAGCCTTTCATAGGCAATTTTGGGTGAGTAATTATGGATCTAAACAATGACAATTGACCCTCCTACAGTTTGTTCACCTTAAAAGTCCTACAGTGTACGATTGACAAGGATTAGATTACATCCACTCAAACCGAGAATCCTATAAAAGGCTTAAAATTTATTACAGTTCCTGCCAATTTAACTGTAAAAATTTGAATTTTAAATCCTGTTTTAGTTTCCTATCCTCAGTTATATTTACGACACCATTCAGGCTAAATACGGTAACTTTAAAGGAGATTATAAGCGAATTATGTTAAGGCTTTTGCATATTTATCCGAGGTTTCCCTCAGAGGCATTTTTATAGCCCTATATTTGAACAACAAAATGGTCTCCCTGGATACCTAACTAATTTATGCCTTCTATTATTTTTATAGACCAGAAACTTTGGCCATTAAAAACGTTTACAACAATTATTAGTCTAGCAATTACTATAAGAGGTCAAGGCCTGTCGTGAATTTATGCGGCCTCCTTGCCATATTAAGGATGGCTAAGGCCTTCGTGAATAGTAATTTTTTAACATAAAGAGAAGTGAAATTAGTCATTTCTTGATGAATTTCCTTTATTTCTTTTATCTTGAAGGTGCTGCAACGTTTTCCATCGATCACATTTCGTCACGAAATCGTAGGAAACTTTATATTTTCGAGAGATTGAGAGAGAAAAATAGATTTTCTTTTAATTAAACAACGCCCGTCGGTATCGTAAATGCTACTACAATAACAAAATTACTATAAATATTTGTTTAGAAGTGTTATTTTGATCTGTTTAAGTGATTTATTTAACAATTTTTGGCTCATTTCGAGTCAGAAACAACTGCCAAAATTCCCCGAATGTAAAAAACAACACCGTAAAAATACTGTTACAGCAACAATTACAATAAATAACTTTTAAAAAAGTTGGCATCGTTTCTACTAGACTTTCCTAACATTCATTATTTGTTTTCGTCCCTAATAATTGCTACCATTACCATTAAAGTCATCGGAGTAGCTCGGGAGATATTAAAGACATGGGGCCATATCTCCCGAACCAACGGTACGATTTTCCTGAAAATTTCAACAAACGTCACCCTTTATCACACTAACATTCGTACAAAATTTCAGAAATTTTGGACAATGGGCACGGGAGTTATTAAGCTTCAAATTAGGCGAACAAAAATCGTCACACCACACACATTTACATTCGTACGTACAGGAAAAACCCCAATATTTTGCATTTCTGAGGTCCTCCAGAGTCCGAAAATGTGAAAATTTCTAGGTGTTTTTTTTTTCGTCCGATGGCCATACTTACCTGGCCGTTTTATATATAACAGAAGGAAAGTAAAATGCTGATAAAAAAAGTTTTCTTTTGTAGTATCAGGGCATTAGTACAGTACAGTTGTTACAGTTTAAAATAAATGACATTGCATTATCATTAGATTTATGCAATGCTGCTGCATGCGAGAGTTTATTGTTTGTGTGGTACTGTGTTTTTTTAAAATGCTCTTCACGCGAGAGATTAAATAACCTCTTGGTCGTGAATTTTATCGCTTTACTTAAGTCTTTTTTTTTCGAAAAAATATATGTATATAAAAGCACATTTCTAATAAAATTTAAAATTCAGGCGGCACCAGAACAATAGATTTTTGATATCCTTTTAAGATAATTGAGACCTTGAAGTGCTGATGTAGTGTCCCGTATTGTTGTAAGCAATAAAATTAAATTCTGGCAATAAAACTGGAAGATTTTTTAGTGAAAACTTTTAAAAATTTAATTTTTTTTAAAGGTTTTCCCTAGCTTTAAACCATTTTGGTGCTGCTTTTTATCGATCCAAGGTCAGCATATTTTTTTTAACGTTTCCGTGTCTTTCCTTCGGTTATTTTAGGAGCTTTCAACTCAAAATCAATGAATTTTTTTTCTATAAAAGGTCATAAATTTTTATGGTAAATACTAAATTGTACCATAATTTTCATAAAATAAATTATAAATGGGACTTTGGATACTTTATGACACGATCCTTGAACCCGTACTGAACGAGTAGGGTCTAAACAAACTACAGTTTAAGGCCTCGTGACTTTAAATTTATTATTATTTAGAGCCTCTTACATAATATAGCTTAGGGGTACGCGTCTAAATCTATCCCTGCATCAAGGCCTTTCGATTCTATTATACTTTTCATATAATAAATTTTAGTTAGGACCACAGGCTACTTTATGATATGATTATAGGAGTTATACTGAGTAAGCGGGGCCCGATTTATGTGTAGGCTGAAGAGGCTACAGTTTAGGAACTCTTGCTTTTATATTTATTGTGATTTAGTACATCAAGGCTCACTTAATTACAACAGAAATGCCTAAAGCCTTCTAATTAGAGAACATTTTACTGCAATCATTCATAAAGTAAGCCTTGCTATAGGCCTTGAATTCTAAGCTACATAAGGCTCAGAATTACAAGTTTAAATCTATCTCTCTAACAAGGCCTACAACAAGGCTTACTTTATGAATGACTGCAGTAAAATGTTCTCTAATTAGAAGGCTTCAGGGAATTTCTAATGAGACCTTATTTAATTGTGATTTAAGTGAGCCTTGGTGTAGGAATTACTTATTTAATCAAGGCCTTGATATGGGTACTGTAAAACTTGAGTTTAATGTAAATTCAAGCTTGACTGAGGCTCGATTTAAATGTTGATATAGAAGATCCTTCGATCTTGCCTTCCATGATTGCTTTACAATTTCAAATTTTGCATGACCAAAGTTTCAATTTTGATCACGTGAGACGGGTTCAGCATCGAAGATTGATTGTTAGCAAGAGTACAGAGTCAACTAAGTGAATCATTCCATGAATGTTTATCGATTGTCCAGACTTTATCCTGCTTTTTTTCTCTTTTTTTGTACGATTAGAAGTCTTCTATTGTATGAGAACATTAATGATCCCTCATGTTTCAGGGATATCTTGTAAAATGATGTCTTTGAAATCCATGGTTTTATGCCTTTTTAAATATGTATTTATGTACTTTCCAGCTTTTAAAGAGGCATTTAAAGAATTAAACGTGGTTTAAAAGCCTGTAAGTTGCGTAAATTTTGCAATTTAGAAGGGCAAAACAAGGCACATTACGGGTATCCCTGAGTAATCTTAATTGCATTTTCTCTTATAAAAATCCGCTAGAACCCGATTTAACTTCTAATTTATGTCCTGGACAACCTCATAAACCTTTACAGAAGGCAGAATTAAGGCTACGGCAAGTTAATTCCATTAAAAGCCATTACAATTTACTTAGGTTCTTATATTGTAGTTTATACGTATTTAATGACTTAAAAAGCAGGCTTAATTTGCATATATTATGAAAGAAATTCGATAAACTTACGTCCGGTTGCCTTGTGTTCGGTTCTCAATTGGTCTCATCGATGGCAAAATGCTTGATGACTTAATGGTAATTAAAGACTAAATTAGCTTGGTTGTTGGAACCACCCAAAACATTGTCGCCTGACAAGCTTCCATTCGTCTTAAGTGACCTCCTTATTCTATCGCTGGAGAATTGCCCTTTTTGCCCACACACGCGACAGGCCTCATATTTGTACAGCAATCCCTTCCAACCAACTTCGAAACAGCGTGCCCGAAACACGTTTCATTACGCGCAATCTGTTACGCGACTTATTTATAATTTACCAAATGCGCGTTTTATGTGGAACGTACGAGAATCTCAATTGTACCTGTCACATAAATTACGCACAGATTTAAGTAATTTCGAGTTGGTAATCAGAATGCGCGAAAGCGGCTCGCAAGTGACAACGCTTAGATGAATGGCCGATCCGACAAGCTGTGTGACCGAACAGAAAAGATAAAGATCTCTCTTGTTGGTATTAAAGAACGAATCATAAACAAGCATTAACGAAAAATTCGACAAATTTGTCACGGATCATTTTCTTCTTTTCCTTCAGCCTGGTCCTTACAACATGAAAGATGGCCCTGGAAACTGGACTCCACTACCTCAGGCAACATGTTATACATACGATCCTGCTTTGGCTGCTTATGGACCTTACGGCGAAAGGTAAGTTTGCTCCAAAGGGAAAAAAAACCTTTACAATTAATTTTTGGGAAGTTTGTAAACGTGAAGTCAATGCCCATCTTCGACAATACAACCGGAATGAGCATTTCTACTAATTAAACCCTGCTGATAATTCTCAGGTTACCTGACAACAGTCTTCTTTTGCCTTATTTAAAGCCAGAAAACCGAACAAATTGCTAGGATGTTCACACTTTTTCTATGGAAAAACCTAAAATCTTCCACTTACAAAGCGTGTGCCAAAGATCTCACTTTATAATACTGCATAGTTTTAGGCTTCTATAATGCCTAGAAAGGCCTACACCATGCAGAATTGTAAAGGGGAATCTCTGACCTTAAATAATTTATTTCTCGGTGTACCCAGAACCACAGGGTCTGAAAATCACCTTTCACCCTTAATGAAGTAGGCCTCGACGATAATCTAATTGTATTAGTTTCGGCTTAATTTTTTAAAGTAAAGCTACAATTTTAGCAAAGAGGCCCTACATGTTTAAATAAAACCTTTTCAATGCCCGGCTTGTTTTATATTAGAGTCAAAAGTACAGTTTATCTAGAGTTCTTGTACCTATAGGGCCCTAAACAAAATGATTTCAATATAGGGATAGAAATTATGTCGGTTTTTCCACATAACTAGAACTTTGGGCCTTCACCTTAACTTTCTGGAAGTCCTGAAAGTTGTTTATTATTATTATAGGGCGCAGAAATGTGATTAAATCAGCAAAGGCTCCCTACTATAAAAAAGGTTTTATAGCCTTGAGTGCTAAAAATGTTCTAAAGTCACAACATTAAATGATATTTCTTGGTTAATGTCGTTGACGGAATGCCATTAAATTCAGATAGAATCTTGAAATCTTTTGCTAGGCCTCGTGTCGAAGGTGGTTTATAACCCTCAGACAACCCCTTCGAGAGAGTTTAAGCTAAGAAAACACTAAGAACAAAACACTGTAACATACAATTCATGCCCTGTGTTACGTTGTAATGAATAATTCCATTGACAAATAGGAAAATTTCGACCCCTGTAAAATACCAAGACAGAGGTTTACCCTCTTTAGCCGCGGGTTAAAACCCGAAGAAAAAAAGTGCCATTCTGCAGTACTTATCCCTTATCGGAGGCGCTTTACCCGGGGGGACTTTAACCTAATTACACGTTGACAAACCTTGCCCCTTTTTAACGTCAATAATTACGTATACCAGGTATGGAAGCATGGATAGCGTGGCCAGAAGGAAGAATGCTACTAGGGAAACAACCAACACCCTCAAAGCGTGGCTTTACGAACACAGAAAGAACCCTTACCCCACCAAAGGTGAGAAGATCATGTTGGCCATCATCACCAAGATGACGTTGACTCAGGTATCCACGTGGTTCGCTAATGCTAGAAGGAGATTGAAGAAAGAAAACAAGATGACGTGGGAACCTCGTAATAAGGGAGCAGAAGGGTCCGAGAACGAATGCAAACAGGAGAATACTGCGAGTGGAAGGGAGTCTAAGAAGAAATCTAGTGATAGCGACGATAGTGAAGATGAGAGGGAAGGTAAGTTGACGTGTATATATTTAGCCTTTAAATCTTATTTTAAGGAAAATTTTTAAATCTCTGCGCGCGAAAGAGCCTCTAAATCTCGATTTAAGAGCGTGCAGAAGAGGCTTACACTCTAAAATTAGAAGCAGTTGCAAGAACCTTTAAATGTATGCTTAAGAATGGGCTCCAGAGCCTTTTTATCTGTACTTAACTCTCCAAATATCTGATCTAAATACAAGGCTTAAAATATTAATGCATTTACATATTTTAAAACTTTTTATAAAGCTTTTCAGGCCAGTTCTATTTCGAATTTTACAGGGTGCCTTATAGTATAACCCGCGCTTACAATATATTTAACTAACCTTAATTACTCCATTTAGGCCTCTTGAAATCTTATTAAACTTTTAATTTTGTTTTTAATTTAAGGCGATTTTCCTACCGTTCAGGCGCAGAGAAACATGAAATAATTCAGGAGCAGCTTGGTCCTATTGAATGGATGCGCTAAAGAGAACTCGCATAAGCCTGATACCTTTAGAAATTTTTATCTGTTGAGCCTCTAAATTAATTTTTAAAGCCTCAGAATCACTTATTATACCGGTGTTAGCCGCAAATTTAAGAGAGAAAGGCTCGAAAAGGCTATCGTAAAACTAGGAAGAAATATATGCAAGTATGAGTTCTCACAGCAAAATGACGGGCCTGTACTTCAGATTAGCCTGATTTAGCAAGCCTGGTATCAAACGAAAGCCAGGCAGGCCTTCATTGAGATCGGATGATTGAGATATTGAGTTTAAAAAACTATAAAAGAGGAGCTCAGGAAAAAAAATAGTGATAAATTTGAGGCCTTCACGCCCATCAAAACACAGCTCCAACTTGAAATCTTGAATTTCTGTTAGTGCTTCGGGCATTTATTTCAGAATTTAAGGCCAGACCTTAAGTGTACTTAGGCCCGTTGGTTCGGGGTCGAGAAGCAGAACACAAGCCTAAGTCGTCCATCATAGAAGGAAAGTAATCTGGAGCCCTTCAGCTGACAGAAATCCCTCAATGACGTGTCTAATATGGAGACCCGTAGCGCATCCATCACGGTTGCAGTTATGAGGGAAGGTAATACCCTCTGCCATTCAGGGAAACAATAACCCGCCATCGATCGTGGGGGGGTGAAGCAAAGATCGGCCACAAACAAATCATAGGGGCAGGAAGGCCGGATTTGTAAGGTATTAGTTGGGATTAGTGGCTAGCACCATTTTCCGCCATTCTTCATCAGTTGACTCCATTGACCTATCGCTCTCTCGCACCCATTTCTTATACATGTCACAAGTAGCGCGCTGTTTCGCCTTCTGATAGTGATTATGTCTTTGCGCGGGGAGGAAGGGTTAAGGGGTCTCAAGATGCAGCTGCACACCCCCAATTTGGAGGGTTTTTCCCCCGATTAAAGCCTAGTATTTTACGTATTGTATTATTTCCTCTCTGCATCTCCCTATAAAGATTTCTGGGCCCGTTCCTGCTTTTGCATGCCAATTTTGTTTGCTTGATCCCCCGTTTTAGCGCTTCTTTAGGTAATAATGTGATTACGTCGCGTTAAATCCGTTCTCAGTTAATTTATTGTCTAAGATGTAACGCTTCGAGACGTTACAATGGATTTAATTTCCTAAAATAGCTACTTTTAGTTTAATTTTTAATACGTTTTCTAAATTTTATGCCCTTTTTTATAGGGTATTTTTGTGTCTCTCTACAGCATACCCCGGTTTAATAGATATACACACTATTCTGCTTTAAGTTAACCAGCCTAGAGAAGAGAATTTTATTCTATTTTCTTAACTTAGGGCCTTTTATTTTTAACTCCTTTCTTCAATGTTATGCCTCCTACTATATTAACCCTCCTTTCTTTCTATTTTAACATAAATAAATGCCTTGTTAGCATCTTTCTAATGATAGATACAGTACTAAAGTACACTACTAATGAGAAAGGTAGTAAGAAAGTAGAGTTTAAAGCATTTTAGGGACTTTTTAAGGCTATTTTTTTTATTGTTAAAGGCTTTCTAGTGCATAGAATTTAAAGGGAAATGCAATTTGAGGGTATTTTAGAAGCAGCCAGCTTTTTCAAATCGGAGATTAATAACAGCCTTCAGCCTTTTTTGTCTTGATGCTTCTAAACTAGCCCCAAATTCTTTGTTTTCTCCTTTAAAGGCTAAGTGCTGGATAGCCCTAAACAATTAAAAATATCCCCAAATTCTTTGTTTTCTGCTTAAAGCCTAATTAATGGATAACCTTATACAAATAGAAATATCCCCAAAATACTGTGTTCTCCCTTAAATTGTAGGAAATAGACATGTTAAATAATTGGAGATATTCTGAAAAATTCCCTAAAATTCTTCCAAAACTTTCCCTCCTTGGCACTTTCTCTCGAATAGAACACTTCCCCATAAACTGCCCCTATCATTATGGCCCTTGGCCACCACTTTATGTTTCTTATTCAAAATAGTCTTTCTCCTTGGCCAGATAAGAGGATCGAGCCCGGGATGCTTCTAGGGTATTATTAAGGTATTAGTCTCTCTTCTGGCATGAAAGTTGTATTGACCTCTATTACACACCTTATATGAGAGCAAAGCCTATCATTAACCCCAAAAACACTTCTTCCTGGTGATCCAGAGGGACAAGGGGGGACTCCTGAAAAATCCCTTTGTAACATCTGTCGATGCTACTACGTGTTTAAATATTTAACTATTTGATAGAGTGGATGAGAAATTCGTTTAGTGTCAAACGCTGTTGTAATGCTGAATGTTGTTAAGGCGTCGTTTAGAGATGTTCTGCTACTTTAAGAGTCAAAGTGGGTTTGTAGCAAGAGCTGCTTTAGTAAGAAACGTTATTCCGCGCGGCATCTACTACACACCAACATCTACTTTAATGATTTAGTACTGTAACAACAATCACTACAACGTTTAGTAGTATAGAACATCTACTACGGTGTATAGTACTATAATGGCATCTACTTGAACGTTTATTACTGTAGCAGCACGTACAAAATTTAGGTACAGTGCCAATGACTACTTAACTTGACATCTACTACAATGTTTAGTACTGTAAAAGTATCTACTGTGTTTAGTATAAACGTCGTAGTATTGTAGCAATAACTACTACATGACACACTACAACATTTAGTAGTATAGCATATTTACTGGTGTCTAGAACTTTAGCAGCAACTACTATGTCTAGTACTATAGCTGCATCTACTACATGTCTAGTACTATAGCAGCAATTACTACAGTGTCTAGTACTATAGCTGCATCTACTATAGTGTCTATGTCTAGTACTATAGCTGCATCTACTACATGTCTAGTACTATAGCAGCAATTACTACAGTGTCTAGTACTATAGCTGCATCTACTATAGTGTCTAGTACTATAGCAGCAACTACTAGTGTCTAGTACTATAGCTGCATCTACTACAGTGTCTAGTACTATAGCTGTGTCTACTACAGTGTCCAGTACTATAGCAGCAACTACTAGTGTCTAGTACTATAGCTGTATCCACTACAATGTTTAATACTGTAGCAGCATCTATAGCATTTACTACTACAACATTTAGTAGTATCTAGCATTTACTACTACAACATTTAGTGTCTAGTACTATGGCAGCATCTACAGATTTAGTATTGTAGCAACAACTACCATAGCATGACATCTACTATGAAGTTTAGTACTGTGGCAGTACTGTATTGTTGCTATTACAGTACAGTATTATTAGTAGACGCTGTTGTAGTACTAAGCGTTAGTCAATGGCATTAAACTAGGTGTTACGTAAGGTGAATTATAACAGATGCCATTGCAGTATTAAAAATTATACAGTCTTATATGTCATACTCCTTTAGTATTAGATTAGATGCGCTACCCTGTTGTGTTACAGTTTTGTCAGCCATAAATTTAAATAGTTCAGAGACGTGTAGTTGGGAGGTTTTTATGCTGATGTTGGAACAAGTGCAACGTGATAATGAAATGTGTCATTTGTAATGTTTAATCTCATGGAGATGCTTCTACAGGTTTAAAGAATTAGTTACGTATAACCGAGAGATGATGGATTGAAAGTGGAAAGTGTCGTGCAGTCGTGCTGCATTAGGAAAAATTAGAGAAATTGAAACGTGCGAGGCTTTAATACAATATTATATTAGTATTGTTATAATAGTAGCTATTAAATAAGCATCCATTAAATTTTGCATTAAGTCTAAGTGAGACTAGAAAAGGCATGAGTGTGACTAAGTAAGGCTGGAAAAGGTGTAAGCGTGACTGCCTAAGTAAAGGCTTGATAGGATTTGTGTGTGCTGCCTAACTAAGGCTTGATAGGGCGTGAGTGTGACTAAATAAGTGAGACTTGAAAGGGAATTAGTGAGACTGGAAACAGCGCGAATGTGACTATATGAGGCTAGAAAGAGGGTGAGAGTAACTATTTAAGTAAGGCTGATAAAGTCTGTGTGACTATATAAGTCAGGCTGGAAAGCGTTAAATGTAACTATTTAAGTAAGTCTGGAAAGATTTGAGTGTGACTGACTAAGTAAGGTTTGAAAGGACTTGAAGTTATGACTAAATAGTGAGGCTGGAAAGAGCGTGGATGTGGCTAAGTGAGATTGGAATAGGTGTAAGTGTAATTGTCTAAATGAAGCTGGAAAGGGTAAGTGTAAGTGTTTAAATGAGGCTATAAGATTTATTGGGTGTGTTAATAAAAAAAATGCTACTTTGGTTGCATACAAAGGACTAGCAACTGAATAATTTTCTATTAATTGTATTAATTAATCAATAGCTATTAGTTGTTACCGTAGCAGTTAAATAAAGTGTTTTGTTTTTAAAGTGTCCCTCTTTTTTCCTACAGGCACAAATGAGGAGTCAAAGTACGAAGAGTCGAAAGTCATGTACACAGAGTCACCCTCCAGTGATCCAGAGGGTCAGACACTCCCTCTGGGTCCTTACTTAGGTTCGAGTACGGATTGCTTGACCACCGAACGTCCAAAAATCTGGTCTTTGGCCCACACGGCAACCTCCAACAGTCCGCCCATATTGAGAAGGTCCCCCAGTGATCACTATTTGGAAAATTCAGTCTTGGTGGGCTACCCCTGGGTCAAGAACGAGCTAAAGGATTCCCCGGAAGCGGAAATGGCCAACTGTCCCTCTCTTATGCCCACTTCTAATCTCAGGTACTGCCAAGACGACCCCGGTCCTCCCAGTAAGTATCCCAATTTGTTCGTATATTAGCATTACTTAAGTTTGTTAGCGTGCGTGCCTTGTAACTGTAGGGTCACGTTAAGGTTATAAATATTACGAACTATCTTTGTTATGTGATTTTTTACCTTTGTTACTGTAATAGTATATTAAATTGTTATCAATAGAATGCGTGTTTACAGTCTTCGAGTTAGGATAACGTTGAGAATTCGTAACTCTTCGTGTAACATAAGCGTAACTTACTCTGATAGGTCTAAAATATCGCCTATCTCCTATGCGGTATCACAAACTATTGATTTAGTGATGCTGCACTTGTATTTTGTTACTGTAATAGTACTTTGATGCATACCCGCACCTCCAATCACAACTTATTCTTACAGTAGTATAAGTGAGATCAATATTTACGCTTCCATCTTTCTACATACCAAGCACGTTGCTTCTGTAGCAGCATAAAAGGTTATGCTGTTTTATGCCACATTGTGTTAGTGCTGCATCATACAAGATTGTGTTAGTGCTGCTTCATGCCAGCTTGTGTTAATCATGCAATTACAGCAAGAATTAACTGTTGTACTTGTTAACGTCGTAGTATATTAATGTAGTAAGCAAAAATTCCGTGTGAAAAAAGTAATTTTTTATGTTTTGTGCCGTAAGAGAATGCCGTTGGCCCAAACTTATCTCATATTAAAAAGGGTTAATGTATCAATTATTAATGCATTAGTACGTTATCCTTAACGAGGAAATAGTGCTGGTGAATGCTGATACAATAACAATGCTACCACACCAAAAAACCAGTCAAGTTTCCGTCTTGCTGGTGTTAATGTACTGTAGCAGTTCAAATGGGTCCGCACTATCAAATTTATTACTGTAACAGATTGTTAGTGTGTTATCACCTGTTGGGTTGTCAGATAATTAATCTTAAGTTAAACTGTGTAACAGCACGCCCCTTCGCAGAAAGATTAAGATAATTTATCGAAATTATTACTCTAGTAGTATACGCATCTAGTATGATACTGTTAGGGTGACAAGTTAGAGGAAAGGTTTAAGTTACGTTAATTAAGAGTTCCATCGATCAGAATTGATTGATTGGAACTTTGCTTGTTACTCTATCGACTTTTATTGTTACTTGGATAGCATCTGAAGTGTCACGTTTGGTAGTAACACGCTTCGTGCTGCTACAGCACTACTGTAGACACTAAAAAAAGAGGGGGGACTTTTGAAATTTTTTATTAAGCAGTCACTCACTTTGCGTGTTTCTTACTAAAGCTATAAAGTCGTGGGTTCTTATCACGTAATCTCTTCGAGTCTGTGTACCTGAAGCGCCTTCAGGTGCATAAAGGTGTATTTTGTGGGTTCCACTCGCGATTTTTTCTCATCCTGTTGTCGAGTGATTGTTATCAAAAGGCACTAAAACCTGAAGGTTTACGCGTAACTTCCTACTTCCAGCACAAAAAAAAAAAAATGCTGTCTTGGCCCATTAGTTTCGTCGTGCCAAACTGGAATTGCAACTACGAGTACTTTAGGCCCAAAATTCGCCTGAGTAATGAGCCTGCAGTTAAAGATGTGTTCGCACACCTCGCATTTTTTTTTCTGAAATACGTGAACCTGGATCCGAAAATGATGAGATAAGACATGACATGGACCAAATTTCCAGGGAGAGGTGCAAATCTCTATGGGAAATTTGCTCCTATTTATGTGTTAGGCACGTGAAGAAAACTAGGAATACTTCATGAATTTCTTTAAAGTAGACATTTTTATTTTTTTTATTTTTAGGATCACTAAACGACCTTAACGTCTACCAGGCACCACCACGNAATTCATTTAGTAATCTATCTGTTAAGTTTATATTCAGGGCCCTATGTTAAAGAATAGGATAAATATTCTGAAGACTTCTTATGATACTGATGAATCCCTATAAAGGGCCTTCACGGAATTGTTTTTTTTTTTTTCGCTCGTTTTATGCACCTAAAAGGCTTGAAGTGCTGAGATCATCCACGAAGTAGATTTTAGAAGATCCTTCAACTTTCTCCTGCCCTTAGGGGTTTTCCTAGACCATTTTTTTTATAACAGAAAAGTTCATCCCTTACAAATGAAAGCGATACCTTAAACTGCTGCTACAGGGGCGTATTCGGTAGGAAGGCAATAATGATGATTGATTTCGTCGGGTGCACTCCTTTAAAGCTTCAAATAGCCAAGTTCTGCCCTTTTAGAACAGTATCGTTTGAAGGGCCCCAAGAACGGAGGCATATCATTTTTTCCTCTTAATGGAAAGGTACAGAGAAATAATGCGAAAAAGTGGGAACGAAAATAACAGGGCATTTACAATACGATTAACAAGAAATAAATTAAATTACACAGAAAATGTGTATAGCACGACCCTAAAATGGGGGTCTTCAGCACACAAGGAGATTTGCTTTCATTGTTCATATATTATAGAAGTTATCGAGTAAGTGTAGATCCTACTGCACTTCTCCTTGTTTGGTGTAGATTCACACGATAAAAAAAAAATAACAGAAAAAAAAAAAATACAAAAAATGTGATTTATGTCATCACTCAGTCAAGGTGTAGACTAATAAACGTCTCCAGAAATTATATCTCTGTCAGTGTCTTGTGTGTTTATTTTCCACGTGTTTTTTTTTTCTTTCTTTCTGGGGTCACGTTTTTGGTGGTGTCGTGAAATGCCACTGTAAGTAAGCGCGTTTGGTATTCTATACTTTTTTTTTATTTGTGTTACGCGTGTATATTTCCGTTATGCTGGTATATCGTTCATTTACTTTTACGCGGTTACGTCTTTTCTTTACCTTTATTTATGTATATCTTCGATCTATTCTTACGCGTGTGTATTTTTGATTTACGCTTACTCCTGTATATTTTTTACTTACCCTTACTCCGGTATATCTTTAATACCCTTGTGTATCTTTTGGTTTAACCTTACGCCTATATTATGTTATCATTTTATGTATTTTTGTTTCTTTCTATCAGTCTTTTGTATGCCTGTGTACATTTGTATCGTTGTTTATCGTAAATTTGATACCCTTTCGGTACTTCTGTGTTATCTCTTCTATATTTTATGTATGTCTTTGTGTACGTTTGTGCTTTCTTACGTAGCTTTGTGTGCTTTTAATTAACTGTTGTACTTGTTAACGTCGTAGTATATTAATGCAGTAAGCAAAAATTCCGTGTGAAAAAAGTAATCTTTTATGTTTTGTGCCGTAAGAGAATGCCGTTGGCCCAAACTTATCTCATATTAAAAAGGGTTAATGTATCAATTATTAATGCATTAGTACGTTATCCTTAACGAGGAAATAGTGCTGGTGAATGCTGATACAATAACAATGCTACCANTTTATGTATGTATTTGTGTACGTTTGTGCTTTCTTACGTAGCTTTGTGTGCTTTTATGCTGTACTTTCTTGTATGCATTTGTGTACTTTCTTGTGTAGCTTTCTGTAATTCTTTATTACTGTTTCTTCGCGTATTTTAATGTTATCTGTTACATTTTTTTAATACATTTTACATACTTTTGAATTATTCTTTCTTAAATACCTTTATAAATCGAAGTATACTCTTCTACATTATCTCTATTGAAGACATACGTAAAATAGATGGTACGAATGAGAGGAAGGTGATCTTTAACTCACCTTCAATGACCTGGCATATGGGCTCGGTATAATCGAGTTTACTGAAGGTGACGCGTAGAAAACGTGGATATTTAAGTGGCGCGTGAGAGAAATCTTAAAAATTTTAACACCAGGCGGTTCTAATAAGAGTTCGCGCTCCATTAAAGATATCATTTAACGGCCTCGTTTGGTCCCTTCTGGCATGTGAGAACAATGTGAAAGATCAAGTTTACTTTAAGAAATGGATAACATATATATATATATATATATAAGGGCCGAATTTGTAATTCAGGGGCGTTTCTGACTGTTAACAAGTTTGCGAGGCGCATTTGGGTCGTTCCCCATATTCTCCAACATAGCTTGTGCATCATGCAAGCCGATCACGAATCGTGCATTTTGTGCAGCGGGAGCAAGGATCGATAAAAGAACCTACAGACCCGTGGAGCACTTTAGCTACCCTTTTACCAGAATGCTTTTTTCTACTCCCCCTTTTTTTAAGAGCCAAAGAGCTGCAATTCTCGTTTCGTGTTAGCCCTTCAAGGAAACTACAGAAAAATTACAAAACTGCTCCCCAACCATGGTAACTGTCTGCTCTTTCATCTGAGAAAACAAGGCGATAACCTTCGAAACGTATTTATAAAGTCGCGTTTTTATATGCCCTTTTCTGCTGTCTATCATGTGATCCTACTGCTAAACCGGCGAAGGGCCTCCTAGAAGGAAGAAGGACCACAGAGTCAAGTCATAACCGGACGCGGGTGGGGGGTGGAGACACGGGAAATCAATTATGTCACGTGAGTCAGAGGTTTAAAGAAGGGGAGGAGGCTGGAAAAATTTTATTAACCAGAAAGGGGGCCAACCTAGGGGGCGCAAATGAGAAAAATCTAATCTGGGCTTATTACAAGACATAGGCGGTCTGTTTGCGAATCAATTTTCGTCCGATGACAGACAAAATTTACATGAAGGGAGACTTCTAAATGAATCTTCTCAATTAAAGAGATGTTCTCTCTTAACCACGCCTTTTGATAGATCTCCCTCTCCCTAAATAAAATTAATGGAGTTTAATAACTCTAAATGGCTCGGCAATCACTCCACTTCTATTTGGTAAGTTATAAGTTAACCTTCTTTGCGCTTGTGAGCCCTTTTGACACTAAAATTGCCCTCTATCTAAATAATTCATTTAGTAATCTATCTGTTAAGTTTATATTCAGGGCCCTATGTTAAAGAATAGGATAAATATTCTGAAGACTTCTTATGATACTGATGAATCCCTATAAAGGGCCTTCACGGAATTGTTTTTTTTTTTTTCGCTCGTTTTATGCACCTAAAAGGCTTGAAGTGCTGAGATCATCCACGAAGTAGATTTTAGAAGATCCTTCAACTTTCTCCTGCCCTTAGGGGTTTTCCTAGACCATTTTTTTTATAACAGAAAAGTTCATCCCTTACAAATGAAAGCGATACCTTAAACTGCTGCTACAGGGGCGTATTCGGTAGGAAGGCAATAATGATGATTGATTTCGTCGGGTGCACTCCTTTAAAGCTTCAAATAGCCAAGTTCTGCCCTTTTAGAACAGTATCGTTTGAAGGGCCCCAAGAACGGAGGCATATCATTTTTTCCTCTTAATGGAAAGGTACAGAGAAATAATGCGAAAAAGTGGGAACGAAAATAACAGGGCATTTACAATACGATTAACAAGAAATAAATTAAATTACACAGAAAAGGGGAGAAGCTCAGCAATAGTAATAACACAAACACGATATTTCTCCATCTGTCACGAAAAACAAGGTCATTTTTCAAAGAGAAAAAGGGCAGTTTTGTCAACGATTGCGGTAACATGTCCAACAATCAAATGTAGATGTAATTTGTAAAGATAAACGCATTAGAGGAAGCACGGCAGTCCACACCTAACTGTTTTACATTCACTCCCGAGCTGTGGTCCTCAATTAGTTAAGTTCTTTCTGGTTTGTATGCTGTGCACACTCCCAACTGCTATCTTTCTATTTATTGACATGTACAAACGATGTTCTGCCATTAAGAATGTCATTCGGTCTCAATCGTTTCTACTTCCTCCCCCGTCAGGTGAATTATGGTTTGCTTGCCTGTTTCGCAGGATTAAAGGGCTTAATCTCTCTCTATTGGTAGATTGCGGTCGTGTCGAGGAAAGAAGGGGTCTTCCAGTCGCATGAAGAGAATGCAGGAGAGATTGGCGATTTCGAAATAAAATTTTTAATGAAGAATTCTAAAAGATCTTCCTGAAAATTCGAATTTTTTTGAGGACATTCTTTTTGTGGGCACTAAGAGGACCATTTCTCGTTGGTTCAGCCAGGCCTCACAATGGAGAAAATAGTGAAGGACGAGGCCAACATACCCGGAATATTTTGACTCCCGAATTCGATTCCGGGTCTACCAGAACGGTAGGCTGAATCCTTAACAGCCTTGGCCCCATAAAAATTTGATTCGTAAACGATACAAAGGTAGTCACGAAATCCCTATCGATTGTGGTTTTAATTCCCTTGAAATATTTAAGTTTTTAAGAAGGACACTCCGTGCCCTGTGGGGACTAAGAAGGTTCTCACTACCCTATCGTGAGTTTAACCAAGACAGAATGGTGAAGGATAGGGCCCAGCATGATAGAGAGAGACGGGGCCCGACTTTACTCCCGGGAAACTCCTAGGGTATTTCGACCTCCCGAATCTGATTCCGGGTCCCCTAGAGCGGTAGGTTGGCTCCTTAACAGCTTCGGTCCCATAAATTTTGATTTGTAACGGTTCAAAGGTGGCCATGAAATCCTTATCGATTGTGGTTCCAGATGACTAAATTCATTTATAACGAGACTTTCTATAAGTTGAAAAATATTAATTTTCTTTAAAAATTCTTCTGTCTTATCGGCCGAGATCTTGCTGATTCTATTAATTATAAGGTTAGACTTTTTATGATCATCAAGGTCTTCACACATCTTATCGTCATAGATCAATTTTCCTCGGTAATAACGAAAAAAAAGTGTAACATGATTTTTAGACGATGGCTAATTTCCAATTCACAAATACTTTTTCTTTTTGTGGTTCCAATAGCTGAAGGTCAATTATGTCGTCACTGTTCTGTTAAGTTAATTGTGACGTAGGTGAAACTCAGAAAGCAAAATGCGAAGAAGGAATTTTTACTTGAGTAAACTCTCATTAAGATTTTCTCAATCATTTCAGTGGGCCTCTTGGAGATAAAATAGCTGAAGTACCGAGCCATATAGATT